CTGTTCTTCTTGTGCTCAATGGAGGTGCAGAATCATTGGAGACTATACATAAATTTTATTGCTTTCTGAAAATTCCTCTTGGTGCTTTGACATAATCCGTAGCACATAGTACAAGCACCTTAATCTTTGTTCAATTTATCTTCTTTTAATGGTTAACTGCTTGCTCTGTCACAGTCCATCTTGGCAAAGCTAAAAGCCTTGAATGGGCAATGTCTAGCTTTGAATGCTAATGGACTCACATCAACCTACTCTCATTACCTGTTCTGTTTCTCTTGTACTCAGTGGAGGCGCAGAATCATTGGAGACGATACATTAATTTTATTTCTTTCGTGAAATTCCTTATGTTGTTTTGACATAACTCATAGTACACATTATAAGCCTCTTAATCTTTGTTCAGGCTATCTTCTTTTAATGGTTAACTGCTTGCTCTGTCACAGTCCATCTTGGCAAAGCTAAAAGCCTCAAGTGGGCAATGTCTAGCTTTGAATGCTAATGGACTAACATCAATTTACTCTCGTTACCTGTTTTGTTCTTCTAGTACTCAATGGAGGTGCAGAATCATTGGAGATGATACATAAATTCTATTGCTTTTGTAGAATTCTTCTTTGTGTTTTGACATAATTCATGATAAATGTTACATAAGCACCATAATCCTTGTTTAGGTTCTAATGTTGGAATATTGAGTTTATGTAGTCCTATTTTCTTGTTGTAAGGTAGGACTGACTCTTCTCTGTGTTAGCAATCTGTCTTTTTTAAAGTAGATCTCTCCATGCCCTTACTAGAAAACTTGATATCTTTATGACATGAATAGCTTTGTTTAAATTGGCTGGTTGAGCCTGCCTTCAATGAGATTGTTAAGGCTTACAGTTCCTGCAATTTACTTTGTATTAGCATGCTTTCAATGAACCAATGTTTTAGTTGAAATTTAATCAAGGGTTGTTGCTTTGATGCCCTCATGATGAAGAACAACTCTTTTGCCACCACTGCAAAGTTTAGTTATACTTATTTTTCATAATATTTTCTTTTCTTGATGCATGTCTTTCTTTTATGGCAGCTGAATTGCTGGTGAATGGAGAGATAGTTCAAAGGTCACCTGAAAGGCAGAGAAGGGTGGAACCACAGCCACAGAGAGCTAATGATAGACCAAGATATAATGACAGGACCCGTTATGTGCGTCGCAGAGAAAATATGCGGTGAAGCACTGCATGGGAAAAAGCTTGCTGTATAGTTTCTGTGATTGGAAGCTTGTCCTGCATGGTTATTCATGGTGTTGTGCTTAACTGTTTAATGTAGCCAGTCAAAACTAAGGATATTGTATGTGACAATTTTATGCCCTCTTTTTCTTGACATATCCTACGAAGTTGAGGTTTCTGAATGTAAAATTTGCTATCCTCATAATTTCCTTTTTTCTGCTCCTCTCTATATCAGGCGGATCAGCTGCTTGTTAGGTTTTACTAAATTGTAGAATAATTTTTGGTGGTAGTTCACGTGGAGGTGTGGTTTAGCTTTACTGTTTTGCACCTATATATTAATGTGTGTGAAAAATAAGAATATGGCCAGGGATCGATCCATGGACAAATCTTCATACTTTCATAGGTGAAAAAGACCACATAAATTGGTTCTTCGCAGAGAGGAACCTTTTTTAGTGATTAATTAAAAAAGTCAGATTGAAGCAAGTATTTGGGGAGTACTTGACAAGTGGAAAAGATTCTTCACTAGATCCAATCCGACAGAATGTAGATTGATGAAACTAAAATGTACAAGTATACTGGATTGAAAGTAGATATATGAAAAGTCAAGTCCTGAGCTGACCAGTTTTCATCCTTAGTTTAAATAATTCAACGTTATTTAGATCCATGTATTTTTAAGCTCTCAAAATGTTCTTTTTCTTTCCTTGTACTAAAAGTAAAAATTCATCACTTTAGGTCTGATTGGAATTATTTTCATTTTTGTTATCAGTTTTTCAAAACTTGAAGAGTTGAGTCGATTAATTCTTTTTCTTAAGAAAATGCACTTAGTTTTTCCGGCTGACACTGGTCCTGACAAGAACCCCTGGCACGCCAGACTCGGACTCGATCTCAGTTAGAGCCCCAACACCGATCCCAGCCCATGCCCATCCTAGTGGGAACCTCGAGCTCTTTGAATCAGATCCCGGTCTGACCTCAACAACTGATACTGGCTCTAGACTAGATCCGAACCCGAATCCCAGAGGTTTCGAACCAAGTCCTGACCTGCATCTTGAGCGCTTCGAACCTCAAGCATGATCCACTTTCATTTTCCGATTTTCAAACTTATCATAGCAACGAAAATAGTTCTAATCAATAAATATCTATTAAAAATATTTAATGAATATTAAAATATGTAAGAATAAAAAAATATATATATACTCACTAATATGATTTTAAGTAAAAGATATATATTCATTAATATGATTTCGGGATATCAATATCACTTTTTATCCTATTAATACTTATTAATTTATTTAGATTTTTTTTATTAACATGTAAGGATCTAATTGTATAAAATTTAAAAATTAAGGATCAAAATATTTAAAAAAAACTGTGAGAACCAAAAAAATTATAAATAAATGATCAAAATACAAAAAAAAGAAGTAAATTTAATGGATAAAAAATTTTTTTAAAAAAATATAAAGACTAAAATGAATATTAAATGAATGAATAAATAAATTAATATATACCGAATATGGGCTAGTTAAAAATTTAGATGATGATTTCTTAATGAATAATAAAGAGGGTAAAAAATTAAATTAACGAGTCAATACACTCGTCCATTGTCATTTCTATCTTAACTCGACTCTTAAAAGATATGGTGATAATGTAAATAGTTAGTTTTGAAAACTTTTGAAAAATCACATTTTTAGATTTTCAAAACTTGTTGTTAATTTTATTTTTTGAAAAAAAAAAGAAAAAAATAAATAGTTTGTCATATTTTATTTTCAAAAATTTAAAAATAAAAACAAAAAACAAAAATGATTTCGAACAACCTTTTTGTAGATCAGGATCTTTTCATAACACGGACATAGCCAAATCATCTCATGTGCCCCTCTCTGAACTTACATCCACCATGCATCATATATACATTTGACGAATTTGTTCATTTCTAACCTTAACCATTTTTGTATAGTTGTAAATCAGCCTTATTTCAGGCATCCTTGATATAGTTATACACCATTGCTTCATGCCATAGTCATCTAATGGTTGTGTTTTCGCTTTCAGCTGGTCCCACCGAACTATTGCAAATTAAAAATAAAATCCAACCAAAGGGGGAGATCTGTTTCATATGAAATTTAGGGAATTTATTTAAATTCAGAAATTGCATTGGTTATAAATTATTATATTCATTTTTTTTTCAATTTAAAGTACGAAAACAAAAAAGAAAAAAACAAGAAGAATTTTCGGCCCATCTTAGTAATAAAATTGTTGCTTTTAGGTGTTATTAATAGGTAGCAAGAAATGAAATAGTAAAAATAAAAATAAAAATTTTATTTTCATTTTATAAATATTTAAATAAAAAAAATTAGAAATAAGAATGAGAATGAAAATTAAATTATATTTCATCATTATTGAAAAAAATGGGAATAAAAATAAGAAAAAAATGAGATTTTTTAAAATTTCAAAATAGTGTTATACTAGTTTTTCATCCGTGTTATGTTGCGAGTCGAACAAAACATATAAAATTATTTCAGTTTGAAGACCTATATTACATTGTGAATCTATTAAAATATATTGAATCAAACATTAAAAAAAAAAATCATTCAATTTTTTTATTAAAATTTTACGTTTGACTAATTGAATTTTATTTGTTTATTATTATTTCAATTACAATATTAAAATATCTTCTCGATTTCATTTTGACTGTGATTGTTGTATTCTCATTCCATTTTTGCTAACCCAAGGACCACTTTTAGTGAAGAAAAATGGTTCAAAAAATTGGTTATTCATATTCACAAAACGGCGGCGTGTCATTTCATTAGAAATCAGCAAGGAGGAAATCGGTCGTCGTCTCGTCTCTATATTTCATTTTTCGGCTAATAATCCGAAAAAAACAAAACTTGCTACTACCAAATGGTGTTTGTTGGTGCCCATCTAGCTAGGCTTAGGTTTCTTCTATCTTGTGCTACGCTACCATTACTCCTCCATACGCTCTCCTCTCGTCCTACTCCTGGCCTGTAACTAAGTATACTTTATATCAACCCTCCATCAACCATTGCCTCCGCCTCCGCCTCCGCTTCGTTCTCCAATTCGTAATTCTCCAACTTCTTCGCTTCGCTAACTGCCTTTTCAGGTACTACGACTAAAAAAAAAAAAAACCCTATTTTTACATTCTGCCTTTGATATATTAAACTTAATTATTCCATTATATAGACTTGAGTTCTTTTTTTTTTTTTTTTTTTTGTAAGTTTATGCGTTGAACATTTGCGAACTCACTTAATTAAGGTGAGTTTAGTGTAGGAATTTTGCATGTTAATTGAGCAAGTTTTTCCAATACTAATATAAAATCAAACTGGATTAGAAAAGAATGTTAGCTGAAGATTTGGGGATGTAGTTTGGAACCTTATTCTTCCATAGAAAATCCTTCAGTTTTAATCCACATAAATACCTCAGTTGCTCTGTTACCGGCCATAGAATAGTTTGGAAGTTAGGTGCCTTCCGCAGTGTTATTATGTGGTATTGAACTTATAATCTCCGTGCCTTGTTTACAACTCCCTTCCTGGTACTGTTTTGTCCCAATTTATAGTCAGAAGAGTTTCATTTGTTAAAACACATTGATTAGTGACTAATACTTGCTTTGTGTTGGTTGCATATTTTTCCGCTGTGCGCAGGATAATTACTGTAATTCCAGAGACTCTTTTACTAATAGCCATATTTTCACTGGCTTTCCTGCACGCTGCACTGTTTTCTTGCTCTAAGGCTTGGGTGTTTTCTATGCTCTCCTAGGGCTGCAGAATTTGTTGTTTTTAGTAATTTGTATCAGGCAAGATGAGCAGATCCAGTCGGCATAAAGGAAAGCATGGACAGATGTCTCGAGATCAACAGTATGAAGGTACTGCTGCACGGACTAGACCTTTCAGCTTTGATGAAATTATGTCGAAAAGGATAAACAAGAAGGTATCTGAAAATGAGAAAGGAGAGTTAAAAGGTGTCTCAGAAGCTGTTATTCATGAGAAAGCTTCTGAACGTAGATCTGAAAGGGGTGATGGTCACAATGAAGAGTCTTGTCTCCGACAGCACTTGTCAGAGGAACGCAGTAAGGCAAGTTACCGAAAGAAAGAAGATCAAGTTTCCATGAAGGATGATTATATAGCCAAAGGCAAAGATAGAGATGTTCGAGATTCAGAAACTAAATCAAAGGTCAAAATGAACGAAGATCTGAGAACTGGAGTTAAAGAAAAGACTAATGAAAAGGTTAATGACAGGAGAAAAAGTGATAGGTGGCTAAGCAGTATTTCTGAAAATCAAGTTGTGAAGAAGCATTCAAGAGATGTGGAGAAGGATAGACATGTGGACAAAAGTAGAGGAAAATCTGAAAGAGAAAGCAATGCAAAATACAGGAACGGAGTTGATGATAAAAGTAGAGAAAGGAACGCTGCAAAGAAATATGATTTGGGAAAAGGGCATCATTTAGAATCTTCAGAGAGAAAGGAAAGGAAGGAATTTTCAAAATATCATAATGAAGAATTAAGGCTGAAAAGGAGACGATCAAGGAGCCGAGAGCGCGAGGACAGAAATAGAAGGTCTATTTCACTCTCACCAAGGGCTCATAAACATGGTTCTTATCACAAAAGGGAACAGGGGGAATCGTCCTCACATCCCGTCAAAGAAAGGTCTGGACGACAGCAATCTGATGCTGATAAGAGCAAAATTACAAATAGTAGTTCTGGTAGCCATCACAGGAGACATGGTGGCTTTGCAAGTGGACTTGGTGGCTATTCACCGAGGAAGAGAAAAACTGAGGCTGCTATTAAGACTCCTTCCCCAGCTAAACGCTCACCAGAGAAGAAAAGCGCTAGATGGGACCTTGCACCAAAAGGAACAAACAATGTCTTTCCTGCTGTAATTCTTTCTAATTTTCAATCACCTAAGCAAACTGCATCTTCAAATATACACAGAGTTGTCAGTGCTGTTCCTGTTGCTTCAGCTGCAATGAAGCCTCTTTCTGGGGTTTCACCCAGTGCTTTGGCAACTGCTACGAAAATCTCCACTGAATCCATTCAACTTACACAGGCTACCCGTCCTATGAGGAGGCTTTATATGGAAAATATACCAGCTTCAGCCTCTGAGAAAGCTGTGATGCAATGTCTTAATAACCTTTTGATTTCTTCAGGTGTCAATCATATCCAAGGAACCCAGCCATGTATAAGCTGCATTGTAAGTTTCTAATTTGTCTTTGACTAATGTCCTTGTTATTTGTATCAGGTGTATGGTTAGAATTTGGGTCGTGGCATGTCTTACCATGTTTTATCTGCAGATGCACAAAGAAAAGGGCCAAGCTCTTGTGGAATTTCTTACTCCTGAGGATGCTTCAGCGGCTCTCTCTTTTGATGGCTGTTCTTTCTCAGGCTCCATTATCAAAGTCAGACGGCCCAAAGACTTTGTTGAAGTGGCAGTAAGAATGACTATCCTCCATTTCTTTTATAGTTTAATAGCTTTATACTTATCTTTAGGATTTCTTTGTTTTTCTGGCTTATTCTTGGTGTGCTATTGTTTGGAACTTCTTGATATTGTTTATTTTGAAGTTAATTGGTCTGTGTGGATGCTTAAAAATAGTTTTAATCATTTCAATCATTTCCTTTCACTGTTTCTCTATGGTGATGATTTATTTTTATGCCAGTTTCTCTGTCAACTAGAATTTATTACTTTAATCTAATTGCTGCAAGTTGTACTTACGATATATCTATCTGTATTTTATATCTCTATTTTGCTTAAGTCAAAGAGTACGTCAACTACTTTGTTTAATTAATCGGAGACCGAATCAGTTGCAAAGGATAGTTTTTATTTGCTAAAAGGAAATAGCAGTAGAAAAGCCAAGTTCTTTGTAATCTAGAAAGGGTCCAGCCTCCGTGGTGACCAGAATCAAATGTTAAGACAAGATTGATATTTTCCTAAATTCCTTAGCAGTAACTAGTAAGTCCTGAAGGACGAGTGCTGCAGTTGTGAGCTTGGCTTAGGCTAGTGTGCTGTCTAAAAAGACATTAAGACATGGCCTTTTAGACGACTGAGTGCAAGTTATTGTTGTTCTTTCAGAGTAATTGGGAACAATGGAGTGGTATGACTAGGGTTTGCTATATATATGGCATGTCACAGTAGATTTTAGGTTTGAAATGTCAGGTTATGAACTACTAGTTAATCTTGTCTGCAAATATTTTACCTGCTCCTGAACATTCATTTTGCAAGAATGGTATTATTTCTTTTCAAATGGGTGTTCTACTAAGTCAACAACATATAAAGCTTGTTTGCATTGGTTAAAAATAGAATGGATTCAATGCTACTACCTGTTTGCAAAATATTTGCATAGGAAATTAGTTATAACTTACATAATGCAGCTACTGATCAGAAAGACAGGTTTTGGTACTTTTCATAACTCCTGTGACAGTTTCTCTTAGATGAATTACCTGCTCTTGAATGTACATTACATTCTTGTGCATTAGCTGTGTACATTTATTACTTTACTGATCTTTTGTATCTTAAGGCATTCAAAAAGACGAAGCTTAATGCAACTATGGATGGTCAATTTAAAATGTCTAGGCCAAATAATATCAGATTAACCAAGAAAGAGGAGGTTCCTGATGTGAATTTATTACACACTTATCCTCCCTTCAAATTGGGAGTTTTAATAATTGCAGCTACTCTTTTGACTGTTTTGGTTGAAATTATACAATAATCTTGGATTGCATCCGCTTTCCCTCACATGCACATGGGTCTCACATATGACGACTACCTAGGGATCCCATATGCATGTGAGAGAGGAGCATGCTTCCATAGTACAGTGAAGTCATTGTTGTTCCGTATGCAAATTGAAGTAGTTTGGAGTTCAATGGGCATTAGTGCTATCTAGTAGTGGACTGTATTCTCGAAACTATTTTGAGGGGTGTCTGCCCTTATTCGTTATGATATAGACCATGGCCTCACAATTGTGAGATCTTGCATGATTTTGCCATTGCTTTTCCTAGGCTCCTTAGTTTTTGCTTGCTCTGTGGAAGCATGTAAGATTGTCCGCAAGTTTTAACATAGGAGCTGTTTCTGTAACTTCACAAACTTTATATTGCACATGGAATATTCTGTTTGCCTAGTTACATGAGATTTATTCTGACTGCCATGTTGGAATCTCTTAACTAGGATGTTTATATTGGGTGTGTGATATTTCACGTACTGGATGGTGATGATGCTGTCTCCTAAATAAGAAGATATCCAGGTGTAGTGACAAGTTTGATGGTGCTTCTTTCTCTGGCATTGGTTTTGGGCTACTGATCTTGGCTGCTCAAACAGTAATTTTTTGTCTAATGAAATGTAGTGCAGTATTTTCTGTATTTAATGTGCAACTTTTATAATGCTTTAAGGTGCATATATCTAGGATAATTGTGTCATTCTCTGTTATCAACTCTCTGAATTTTCCCATGCATATATGCTTGAATTTTATATTCTAATTTTTGAGTGGCATGATGTTGTGTGCTAAATAGTCTCCTCAATATTGGCATGGTTTCGCACATTCTTTTATTGATGTTATCGCTTCTTTAGATTCACTTTTCTGTATATTTCATGTCACAACAGAAATTTAGAAAAAACAAGAGATACAAAAAAATATTTTTATTGAAGGGATCAATAAGATCTATGAAGGGAGCTATTTGAGCTTCACAGTGTCCAATTGAAACAAGACTAGGATAATTGATGGTATCAATAAGATCAATTTGAAGTTCATAGTTTTCACTAAAAATATGTTTTCTTTCACTGCATAACTTTTTCAATGTTCTTGTATCATTATTTCTCTACTATGTTAATTTCAGCATCACGTCTGCCCTACTTGAAAGCAGGGTTGATGACGTACTCAGTTTGCTTGTTTTCTGGAGACAAACCAATATGTAGGTCCATTCTTGATCTCACAGTACTCTTCCTGTGGCATATAGTCTGTTGCCTTCATTACCAATGCATTTGAAATTTTATGTGTTATAGGCCTTTTGATCATGGAATGAGTACTGTGAAATCAAAACTCTTGCACGTTTGGTGTTATTAAATTAGAATATATGGATTATATTTTATTTATTGTCTCATTCTCCTATCCTCAGATTTCCCAAAATCTGTTTGAATTTACACTCTGCTTGAGTTTGTGTCCATTGTAAACATAAGTTATGTTTTGTTCAACTGATGCTTTCTGCTGCTGCTTTGCTTTTTTCTGAGGTATATTGTGGTTATTATCCATGTAGCAGGTTTTCAGACAGTTGCTATTTTCATGCAGACTGGTGAACTGGAAAAATCAGCCGCTGCATTTGAGGCAATTGACGATGTTGTTAAGGATTCATGTCACAAGGTGTGCACCACTGTCCTAACTGATTTTTGTGTTCCTTTTAACTTCTGGTCAGCCAGGTCTTTTTTGGTCCTCTGTCGTGAACAAAAGGCTAGGATTTTTATTTGCCTCTGTCTTAAATTACTCTTTTTTTTTCTTCCAAATTTCATTTTGTGAATCTCAAGTGGCAATTTTCAGTTTGGATGTGTTTTCAGTGGAAGTTCAAGAAAATTCCTTGCTAATGACATCAACTGATGCTATCATGCATGCAACTTTTTTCTTTGTCCCATCCCACCTCTTTCCTTTTCTTATTTGGAAAGACAATTTCCAGCATTCACAGCAAAATGCTTTCTTCTACGACTTGGGTGAGACAATTTTCAGATAAGTCTCATGGTTGAGTTAGTGACCACAAGGAAGGAGGGACAAGGGAACTTTTTTATTGGTGAACTGGCTTTTGTAGTAGAACTTGGAAAGAATAAAAGCTATGGAAATAGGATAGCTTCAATTTTGCAACTGTTTTTGTAAAACTAAAAAAGAAATTGATGACTAAAATATAATGGTTTGTGGATGGCCAACATCACTCTGCCTGCCTGTTTAGGCTGTTTTTAAGGTGAAAGAGAAGGTCCAAATAAAATCAATCGCAGTGAATTGTATTACTCATAAAATAATTTGTGCTTAAACCCTCATACACTACTGGTCTTACTAAGGTAGTAGCATAACTGATAAAACAACTGATGTGTTGTGGAGACTTTACGGGGTGAAACTGACTTAGCCATGCATTTGTTGTTGTCCTTCGGTTGTAGCCCTGAAAGGAACTCATCCTTGCTTTTATCCACACGTAATCACATCTGTTTGTGTTTCTTTCTTATCATTTATACCGAGCTTCGGATTTTCATTATTATTAAATGTAATTTTCTTGTGTAAGTGAGTCTTGCGTTGCTCATATCTAGCTGTTGTTAAGCTACTTGTTCTGATTTATATGAATAATCTTGTGATTAACTTTTTCTGTTTTGAACTATTTCTGCAGATCTTCATTGGTGGAATTTCAAAGGCTGTTTCTTCTAAAATGGTAATTTGACAGTGAAATTTGCAATTCTTTGTGCATATTGTTCCTTCAGAGAATGGTCTCTAGGGTTCCTACATTCCCATCCATCCCTCCCATCTCTCATTCTCTCTCCCCAAAATCTTTGCGCCCTTCTTCCATATTCTTAATTTTATTTACATTTCTCCAATTTCCTCAGCATTTAAGTGACTAGGGTGTGCTTACTGCTTTTATAGTTTATGGAGATTGCTAGTGCCTTTGGACCTCTGAAGGCATACCAGTTTGAGAACAGTAAGGATCCTGATGAGCCATTTGCTTTCCTAGAGGTAATATAGCATATTTGTGCTGTTTCTTACATTTGCTTCAAGAGAAGCATACCCTCTGTGATGTTAGAGCACTTGCGGTTCAACTTTATGTCAATTGAACGTGCTTCTCCTTTGTACATTTTTGTTTTCTTTGTAACTCAATCCCCCTACCTCCTGACCTTGAGTGTCAAAGAGCTGATAATATTCTTGATATCAGTATGCAGACCAATCAGTTACTTTCAAGGCTTGTGCTGGTCTCAATGGTATGAAGTTAGGAGGGCAAGTAATTACTGCCATTCAAGCTGTTCCAGATGCATCCTCCTCGGTAGTTCCTCACCACCCTAATTCTTCTACTGAAAATTTAATATCAACACTATGCATCACATGGTGATGGGAACTAACCAAGAAGCAACACATTTTAGGGAAGTGATGAAAATCCACCATTTTGCCAGATCCCTCAGCAGGCAAAGGCACTTCTTGAGAAGCCTACAGAAGTCTTAAAGCTTAAAAATGTGGTATGCTATATGTTTCTTTTATGTATACTATTTTGGTAACGTTTCATGTTTTTATATCTTTGCACTTTATTTGGGATCGATATTTTATTTTAGTTAACTATCCTTTTTATCCTTTGCCTTTTTCTCAATATTAAATAGTTCGATTCAGAAAACCTTTCATCCCTATCTACTACGGAAGTTGAAGAAGTATTGGAAGATGTGCGTTTAGAGTGTGTCAGGTACTAGCAAAATAATTTTTCTTTATTTGCTTTCCAACTTTGTAGTAGTTTGAATCATGGCTTAGAATACAAGTTTACCTCTTAAACCTGCAGGTTTGGCTCTGTTAAATCTGTTAATGTTGTCAAGTCTGGTGCAACTGCCACCTCCACTTCAAAATTATGTGAATGCAATGATGATATGGCATCTGCTGAAGCAACACAAAGCTTAGGGTGTGATGTAACAAATCCTAAAACAAGGAACAACAGAGAATCTATTGACCAAAAAGTTATGGAAGGCAACAGCATTGGTGATGATAAACCAGCAAATTATGTTATGGAGGAGGAGCCATGCCAGCCAGGTCAGGTTGACAGTGATACGGTTGTTCAAGACTCTGAAGTACCCCCTCTGGATGAATTAGACAGCAGCGTTGACAAGTTCACCGATGACATTGAAATGGAGGAAGCACGTGCAGAAAACAAATCAACAGCTGGAGAAGATTTGAATTTGGAAGACGATAGTGGAAACAAATTGACAGCTAGAGAAGAGTTGAATTTGGAGGAGGTGGGAGAAAGAAAATCAATGACCAGAGAAAAATTGAATTTGGAGGAAGTCAGAAAAAACAAAGTGATGGCTGAAGAAGAGTTAGACTGGGAGGAAGCCAGTGGAGACGTTGAAAAAGCTTTTGTGAATGATAGCATGGAAGCAAGACCAAATACTATTGAGAAGGGAGATGACGAGGAACAGGATAGTGATCTTGGATGCATTTTTGAGCCGGGCTGTGTTTTTGTGGAGTTCAGAAGAACGGAAGCCTCATGCATGGCAGCACATTGTTTACATGGAAGGTTATTTGATGGCCGTGTTGTAGTGGTGGAATATGTTCCTCTTGATATTTACCTTGCCAGATTCCCAAAATGATTGTTTTTGGTAGTTGCCATGATCTAATTCGGAAAACCACATGCATGCAGATGGATGACTGGATCTTCTGTTAATGCATGGTAAAATACCCACCCTTTTTAACATTTTGGAGCAATATTGAACCAGTCTAATTTCAACTTTCGCCCATATGACTTGCAGGAGGAGAGGTTTTTTTGGACTGTAGAGAAACTTGCAAAATGCTGAAATGATTTTCACATGTTGGAGCTTGAAAGTTTCAGGATCTGGTTGGTTATCTGTTGAATTGATGATTCAAATAATGGGGTGAGGGACTCTGTAGAGCACATACATGAAGGATAAGGCTGAACGAGACATTTTGCTAATGTCATTTTTTTTTTTTTTCAATTCTTAGTTGTTTTTTTCCTTTATTTAAGGAGTTCACCTCTTCTTGCATATGTAAGTATGTCAAAGGTCTAGGGTTTTTAACAACCGAAAAAAAAAAGGAAAAATTATCAGGTTTGTTTAGTGTCATTGTGGCTTGGGCTTTAAACAATAAAAATAAAAAATCGGATACTTGTTTTTACCCAAACTTTTGAGAGCCGTTTTCCTTTAGTTTTGAAAGAACTTGGGAAGTAGTTACAATTTCTTATTTCTGTAAAGGCAAAAGTAAAAACAAGTTTTATGTTTTTGCTTCTGTTAAGAACAAAAACAGAAACATTAACTAATACCAAATGGAGCTTCATTATATCAAACCCTAACCTTGTGACCTGATGGTTCATGCTTGCTTCAAGGAGAGGACTTCATATGAAGATACTTGGAAGTAAAAAAAAAAGAATAGTACTTGAGGTCTTGAGCAACCTGAAGACGTTTTTTTGTCGATCATGAGTTTGCCGCTAAAATTCTGGAAATCTTTGTAAAATTTGAGGTGCAAGATAGTGTGTGTTTAATGGACTAATAAGAAGTGCATTATCCATAACGAAATTAGGCTAAATTACCTAAAAACATCCTCAAGTATGTGTATCTATAATTTAAAAAAGTATTTGACTATCATGGCAACAGAACTCTCCGATCATTTATTCGACATTGATGTTGAGAGTTGAAACAAAAGCACAGCAAACATTAGCATTTCTAACATCATCATCATCTATTTCCTACAAGTTCCCAGGATCGAAACCTGGCTCTGATAAGTGAAAGCTTCGTAAATTCTCCTCTGTATTGTTTTTTCGTTTTTTTAATTCCAAAAAATTACAGATTTGGAATCCATTTTTATTTTTCTCTTGCAACTATTTTTATGTTTTTTTTTTTTCCTTTTCACCCTTCTAGAGTTTTTATTTGAGTTTAGACTGCAGTACCTAAAAAGGGTTGGAATTTAGTGTTATTATTAATATAGCTGCTCTCTCTCTCTCTCTCTCTCTCTCCATCCATATATTTGAGGGGTATTTCGCAACTTTTTTAGTATTTGACTCCATGATTTTGCTTACAATATTTGACTCCGTTATTGTAGTAAAAATAACATGTAATTTAATAATAATATATATTTTTTTTTTGTAAGAGGTCACGAATTCAAATTTTAATAAATTTATTCTGTTATAAACTTTGAGGGTGTAAGTTAAAAAAAAAAATTATAGTAGAAATATAATAGATATGAAATTCTAAAAATAAAAAACTACCTTTTTTTTTGTTTTAAAAATCAGTTTTAGTTTTTAAAACTGTTCATTTAAAAAAATAAATGTAAAAAATTCAATTGCATGTGCGTATTTTTGTTTTTTAATTAAAAAAATCGCAATGATATCAAGAAATTATTAAGTTTGTTAGGAGTTATATTCCTTTGTTTCATAAAAACAGAGAAGTTATCATAAAAATAATTTATGGGTTATATGTTTTTATGAGAGAGAGGAATACAGATTCTGATATAATCCCCAACAACAACAAATTTATGAGTTTTGAATGTGTGTTTTGTAATCTGTTTTTTAATTGTCAAACCTATGAATCTTTCCATAACAATATGAGAGGCAGTATTAGGCCATGGGCCTTGTGCAGCCCAGCCCAAGTGAGTAGGTTTATGATCCCCAACCCCCCAAAGCAATACACACCGTCCGTCAAATACGAAGACAAGAGGCCCCAAATGAAGTAACTGTTATCCATTTCTGCGAATTTGAGAGAGAAAAGCAGATAGCAAGCAGCAAGAAAGGAAAAAGAAACATAGAAGAAGACAATGGCAACAACAGCAGTTGGGGTAGGAGGAGGAGTGTTGCTTGGAAACAGTATATGCTTCCACAAAACACAGCAGTTTTCCATTTCGAAGAGTAGTCCGGTTTCGGTTTCAGAGATAGGGTTTGTTACTTCTCAATTGAGCGGGATCAAAATTTCCTACAACCCACCAAAACCACTCTCTGCTCCTTTCACTCCCGCTCTCCAACCTGTCCTGGCCCGTATAATTTTCTCTCTTTCTCTTGTTTTCATGTGGTTTGGATTAATGAAAGTTTTGATCTGTGACTATTTTGATTTGTTTTTATAGACATGGCCCCTTTCTCTGGTCAAGTATCATTGTCGTAGATGTAGCACAACTATTTGTAGAAATGCCCGGCATTGCTAATTATAGGAATAACTTGCCTCAGTTTCTTCATAGCATCTCTCTGGATTGTATGTGTTGCATCTGTCTTAAGATTCTAGTTTCTGATATGGGGTAGAGCTAATCCTAGCTATGTGTAAATTGATTTTTTTTTTTTTTTTTGGCAGGTAGAATTTGTCCCTTTACAGGGAAGAAAGCCAACAGGGCAAACAAAGTTTCCTTTTCAAACCACAAGACCAAGAAGTTGCAGTTTGTCAACCTGCAGTACAAGAGGGTGTGGTGGGAAGCTGGCAAGCGCTTTGTCAAGCTGCGATTGTCAACCAAAGCGTTAAAGACTATAGAGAAGAACGGACTAGATGCTGTTGCTAAGAAGGCTGGCATAGATCTTCGCAAGGAGTAATAAATTGGCCTTGCGGTTTTGTTTCTAATGTTTGGTAAATTTTTGTTCTCTGTTACTTCTGTTGTTCATCCCTCGTTCTGTTGAAATTCTTCTCTCAAATCAGTGATATCATCTTTACATCTCACAAGCTGGCAATTTATCTTTATTCATGTGCTCTTTAAGTCCGTGGTTTTTAGTTTATCAAAAATGGTATTGATTCCACTATCAGAAAATTACAGAATAGTTTCGTTGGGATATGATATATTTTTGTGCTACCAGATCCGTAAGTAATTGCATTATCCCAAATGCCATTGCGTATGTAACTTCGGGAGGTGGCATCTGTATGTTGGTATTAGGTTCAAAAGTGCCATGATGTTAGACAATCCTCGAATGCCATTGTATTATTTTGTTTCCTAATTACGCATAATCCTAGTTGCAGATTCTAATGACACTGCAAAAAAGTGTTTTTGTTTTGAAATTTTCAGATGAGATTCTCAAATTTCAGACTAGATTCTTCATCTTTTTCTTTCTGTCCAGTGCTGAAGCATTATGCCATCATTGGAGGTGGATGGATGAATGGTTGCAATAAGTTTTAAAAACAAAGCTACCTAGGTGTGGGTCTACAGATTTTTTGCAACATTTTGGACCGGATATCGTAATATCCAATCAATGGGATCTGGATTCATTGAGTTATGGTAGGATGTGTTTTACTCTTTTCTGGTAATGACTGAATGTCATATTCAGATGACCAAATCCAGTCATGTGCTCCCATTCCATTCCCATCAGGCAGCGGCATGGAGAAGCCACTTAACCGAGAAAGGAGCACCCAAGGGATTGAAGGAGGAACCCTGACAAAGAAATGGAGAAGAGAAATGAAATGAAAATTTGCTCTCATCTCAAGTTTTGTGCACCTGAAACGATCAGTTTCCTTCTAGCATGCTTCTCATGCATCCGTTACATTCTATCGAGTGTAAGAGTTTCGCAATAGCATATGAGCATCTCCCTCTGGTATTGCTATTCATCGGCACAAAGCTGACAGGGTATCAAAAGTGAACTCAGTCCGAGTATTTGATGCCTTAAACATGAGCAGTTCGATAATCGCAAAATTGCAATACCAAAACTAATGCCTTTTCTGGGTTAATTATAAATACACTGACTGTTCTCAGTGATCCAAAGCTCGTTTCCAGAGTTTGAAACTTGGGTTTTGCAGGTAGTGACTTCTCTACCAAAAACTTTCGAACAGCAGCACTGTACTGTGATATCTTAAATCTATTGGCGTATATTTTAAGGAAAAAAGAGAAAACTCCGGCTTTCTTTTTCACCTTTTTGTCAAGCAATTAGTATCATCATCAAGAACCAAAAGAAAGAAAAAAAAAGGACATTAAATTTTACATCCTATGTATTTCTGTGGATGAAGAAACCTGATTGACCTATCATTTCAGTTTTCACAATACGCTAATAATGCCGATCAAGTTCTCAGCCATGCCTGCAAGAAATATAAATACTAGTTGTCAGTTTCAGTAAACACATGAAACAATACTGTTATTTTGGAATCTAGTAAACTACAAAAACATCTTGAAAACCTCCCCACAGCCTTTACAATCCAACACAGAACTGGATCAAAAAAAAAATCCTAACCTACATAGAAAGAAAACTCACCCTTTCAAGAGGTGGTTTTCTTTTGCAGATTCAAATCGTCTGCAGAGTAAAAATCAGCAATGAGCCCGTACATGAATGAAGGGTTATGTCCTCCTCTGCAGCATAAAGAATGGCCAGAACTTAAAAAACCAAATAAGTGATTAAGCATCTAATAATAAGAGTACAAAATGATCACCGTTAAAAAGATAAAACTGTACAACAGACAATCCAGTTAATTTTTTGCAAAATTTGTTTTAAAATGGTGATGATTGGAAATAGAGGAGCTGTTTTCCTAAGAAAAAGAAGAAGAAGCTTGCTTCCTAACACATAGAATGGTCTTACATGTCGGTAATGAATAGACTGACAAGCTCTGGTGGCACATAATCAAATGCAGGATTGACAACATTAAGTAGAGGAGTGCCACTGCCAACACTGAAGTCCATGCAATCTGAGAATTCCCCGAACTGCAAGAGTTCTGATGGACATCTCATTTCATTTTGCAAGACTGCTGGATTTTGCGGATACAATGGACAAAGCTGTCAGACAATAAGACAGCATCATCAACAAAAGCAAACAGGTAATATCAGAGTCAAAGCGGAAGTCGTAAGAATTGAGAATTTGCTGAACAGTTTTCAGCATGATCATATAGATATACATTGAATGAGTGTCTCAACTCTCAATTACTCAGTTTTGCAGGCATTATATATGATTCTGTATGGATTACTACTGTTGAACTGTTTCAAGTAAAGACTTCAGGCTTGCTCTTCTACAAAGAGCGAAGTTTAGCGATATGAGGAAAATTTTCAAATTTTAGATGCTTTAGCAGATCAAGGAATGCTGTTTGAAAATCTCCAAAGAATGCATAGTCCATCCAATAGGATGCAGTTGTTAGCATACCTTATGAGTACCAGCAACCACAACAAATGGAACAGCATGCTTCCTGGCAGCAAGTGCAACCATGTTCAACCCAACTGGACCTATGACACCGCCATTAGCCATCACAGCATGAACTCCAACTACAACCTTTATCACAAATTCCAATTTTAGACAACTAAATTATATCTGAGAGAGCAAGGTTTAAAGCTGGCAATTACCATGTTCACTCGAGAAATCATAGCAAAAACTGCTGAATCAGTAATGACTGTAGTCTGTAAGCCTCTTGCTACCAGGTCTTTTGCAAGGGCATGCCCCTGATACCTAATTTATGACCAAATAAGAATGAATCATTAGAGAAAGGAGAACGAAATACCCAATGAAGGGAGTGAGGTGGGAGGGTATTTATGTCGCTTTGACATTAAGATTTCTACATACTTCGGAGCTCCTTCGGCAACAAAAACCTGAAATGATCTTCTTTTGTCTTTTGCAGCACATAGGAATTCCCTCACAGTTCTTGAACGACCGAAAGTTAAAATCACCTCACTGAAAAATATTACAAATGGTTAAAACTAATGCAACTAACGACCAGCAGTAAAACGCTATGACAAATATACACAGACAAGACTGTTCGGTGAGGAGAAATTCAGGCTAAAGAAAATACAGATAAGACATCAGTTATTAACATAAAGGTTAAATGAATAAGAAGCAAGCAAATTCTCATCAAGAATATCCTCTTCTAGAGGCTTTTAGATGCATCGTCAGCCTATCTAATGACTCAAGTTTCAGGGTGCTTATGCAGCATTGTCTAAGTAAATGAAGGCAAATAAATTGAAGATACATGAATTCAATCGACCAGACCAAAATCCCCTTTACAGAGGAAATGATATGGAAAATGTGACGATATAATGAAATCAAACAAGAAGGTATGGTATACAATCTTCTGAAAGATGACATGAGAACATCTGACTACATCATCAAATCAAGCAAGAAGGTATGCTACATAATCTTCTGAAAGGTGACATGAGAACATCTGACTAACAAGTTTATCATTCTCTTTGTGCTTCCATATTAGATCTTGGAAACCTTAAATAAACTGGGTAGAACCAGCCCAGACCCAGATTGTCGAAAAAAGAATAGTTGAAATCAATATGGTTGGGAGGAAACAGTCTTAAGGTAATAATGTGAAGCATCTTGAGAGGGAAAATGATATTAAGTGGTGATAATATATACTTTTGATGAATAAGCTCCACTGCCCGTTCTGCAATCTGTTCGTAGCAATTGTTTATATCTTCGATGAGTTCATTAACTGCCTCTATCACATCATGCTTCAATTTCCAGCTCTTTGTGTTTCTATCAGCTGCTGCAAGGGATAACATACCATTACACACCAAACGTAAAACTACTTTATAGTGAATACTGCTTTTGCTAGACATTTTGTTGCTCCTTGAGAAATATGCTTTCAGCAAAACCTGAAATCATTTCATTCTTAAAATTTGAACTATGAACATTAAAATAACCTTGGGAAAATGTTTAAGACAGGAAAAAAGGAATGGTGGATTTTGAACTTAAACACATAGCAGCTTACATTTGCCTCTTCCTTCTAAAGAATCTCCAATATAAGAAGAGTGGTGAGCTATTGGCAAGTCACGTGTGCGGTCAAGAAGGGCATGCAATGAAGGGGGCGCAATGTGCGTCCTGGAGCAAAAGCAGCCACAGTTTGAACTTGGAAATCTTTCTGTTCACCAGTATCTTTGTTATCATCGCAAGCAGATGACATCAGTCCTCCAAGAGCATTTGTCGCAATTGAAAAATCCTCCTCTCTAATTATGTGCAAAACACGCCTTACAATGTTCCCAACAGCAAGCTCTACAATGCAATATTTTCACTATAAATATACTAAAAAAGACCTGATAAGCTACCACATAACTTCCGACCTTTGAAGTTGTACTGGACAAACTATAGAATGTTTATTACTCACAAATAAATTTCAATTTTCTGCAAAAAAATCATGCAATTTATATTTTTTGTACTGCCCAATCCACACTCTTATGTTACAAGGGAGCCCTTCAATTGCCATGAGCTTGCCACCAGTACACTTCATATACTCATCTATGCCTATTAAACAATATTGTTTCCTAAAGGAAGATAAATATTCTCGATTCTAGAGGACTGTAATTAGGGAATGGAATTCAAAATTTAAACTTTTCCTTCAGAAGTCTACCACAGGTAGCATCAAGACTACAATCCATCTTTTTAAACAATTATCTCTCAACAAACCTGATGAGAAATTTGCAGAAGAAAACTGAAAGCATACCAACAGGATTAGCAGCAATGAGCTGCTCTCCCACACTTTTTATAGCTTCAATAAGGGTTGCAGCCTGGCTGGTTTGTGGTACCTTCATCTGGGATATGACCGACCGAAGCAACTCTGCTGTCAGTAGAGCAGTTGCCTGTGAGCCCTCCACCTTCCTGCCACCACAGAGATAAAAAGGACAAAAAACAAACAAACAATTAACAAAGAAAGAAAAATACATATTATATCATAAATATTCATGTTCAATAGCAAACAAATTTATGATTACAAGTATTAATGTTCAACATATGCAGCTGCTCTTCAGAAATATCATCAGAATCGTCAAAATCGTTACAAATCTATGTATGCATGTAAGTGCGTTGATAAATTTAACCCTTTCTCCCAAAAACATTTATATTTATATCATATTTCTGTTAAAGAAATTTATGTGTTAGATCGATGTAGACAATGACATTCCAACGTAATTAGAAAAAAGAAAACAAGCACATAGAAACTGGAGACAAAGTTGAACTCACCGTTTCTTAAGCTTAGTGACAAGCTCGTTCACAAGACTTTGAGTGCCTGCCATGTTTAGTCCTGAATCACCACATTAAGAAATATATATTTGTTGTTAGATAAAAATACAAATCAAGAAAAAAAATACATCGATTGAAAAAATTAGGTACGCATACCTGTGCTTAAAACCCTCAAAGAGAATAAAAGAAAATAGTTTTAGGGTTTATGAATATATAATCAAAATTACCAAGGCATGTGGTCTAATAGGAAAGAGATTGTCTTTATTTAGCCAATATTAAGATTCAATTCTCACCGTTTACCAATAATCAACCAATCATCAGTTAAAATTATTTTTTAATGGTATTAGAATTGGACTCATTTGTTCTAAGAGAGTTTAGTGATCGACTAAAAGCTAATAATGTTTTGACATTGATTTAGTTCAAAAAATTATAAATTTAGTCTCGATTTATTTAAAAACGAAAATGCCCTATTATATATATATTGTTAAATTCACTAACAAATTGTTATTCCAACCATTTTTTTACACAATTACCAATACACCCTTTATTAATTACAACTAACTATTATATAACAAATATTAATGAAGGGTATATTTGTAATTTTAAAAATATGGATGGGAATAACAATTTGGTTGGTGAATTTATCAATTCTATATATATATATATAATTTAAAAAAAAAACAGATTTTTGATTGTCATTCTGGCAAAATTAAGAAACAAGAAACTATTGTACTGTATCCGGTTAGCTTTTTGAATAAAATAATATTTGAGTCCTAGTAATTTGAATTTTTTTTCGTGATTATGCAATGAAAAAAAACTATTTATGTATAGTTTAAAAGTCCATAAATTTCTAATGAATAATAATAAAATAAAATAAAATAAAAATTCAATCCTCTCTTTCTTGATTTTGGTTTATTGTTCGAACGTAACAGTAAATTAGACAAGAAAAAAGAAAAATAAGGAATAGCCTAATTTCTCGAAATAATACAAATTGATTTTAGAAATATTCTTTTTGGATCCATGTTTCCTATATCGTTTCAATTTGGTGTCTTTTTTTAAAGAAAAAATTTATTAATTTGGGAACACAATTTGTTACAATATAAATATTTATGCTATGCCTTTATTTTCTGTGCTCAAGGATAAAATGCAAGTCCGGTATTTTGAAAGAAAGAAGTGAATTAAAAATCTGAAAAAAACTTACGATGCCATACATTTGATTTTTTTTTCATCAATTTTTTTTTTTGTGGTTTTTGAAAAGGTCTAAAAGATCTTGGATTATATAACAATGATAACTCTCATCCATTATAAAAAAATCTAAATTGTCGTACTTCACAACCGCCAGCTAGACCAACATGCGTAGGTCATAAATTTTTTCTTTTTTATTTTTTGACATGAATAAACTCTCCATCAATTTTTAGATAATTAAGAAGTTAACATTATAAAGAAGTTGTATCACCACAACACATATATATTGTCAAGGAAAGGACTATTATAGTCTCTGTTTTGCAATTAGATGTATTCTTTTTTTTTTTTTTTTATAACACAGTGTCCGAGTCAACTTACACGCACCTCGACTAATCCTCGCGAGCCTTGAAGTTAATGACTATGTAAGCCTTCAATGATTACCAAAGAGAGCAATTAGGACTCAAACCTAAAATCACAAAGAGAGCAAACCCTTTGGTATTAAGTCTTTGCCACTGCATCACTTCCTGTGGTTCAATTGGATGTATTCTTGTTTATACCTGCAAGCATGTATCCTCAATTCTCACGCTAGCTTTTGTGTATGAGACAAATTAGTCTTTCCATATAGAGAATTTATGAAAAATTTACTACTCACCATCTCAATCCTAACAACTACGAGCGTTCACCGTACAATACCTTGAGCCATTACCCAATAACCTGAACCTAACTTTAAAAATAAAGTTCGACACTTTGGAAAAAAAGATGTAAGTTTGATTAGCTTATGTTTAAATTCGATTCCCAGATTAACCTAAACCTATTACCATACATGTACAATCCTGTAATGTAAAAATTTAAAATTCATATTTCAAACTCAAATAACATATATATATATAATTTGAATTCATTGCATGTTTTTTTTCTATATAACTAATGGAATAACAAAATTAATGTGTTTGGGATATTATATAAATTAAAGTATCAATTCTATATAATTTTCATGTAGCCTAATCTTTATACATAGTTATCATATATTAAACATAATTTATGAAAATATGATTATGTTATCAAATATCATCATTACTTGGATGTAAATGATCTCTTTTTGCATTTAGTTAATACGTACTTATTTGATTTAAGAATAGTAAATGTGATTTAAGATAATAGGTTTATGGTATCAAACATTGTTAATGAATAATTAGTAATTATCATAAACTATCCATTAATTCAAAATCCTTTTTGTATTTAGTTGCTATATAATTAATGAAGAATACTAAGACAATTTAATAAAATTGGATTACGGTTATTTATAAATGTTCAATTTTTATTGTTCATTCATGTAATAATAACATGTGTAATTTGATTATCTATTATCATGCATGTTATTCAATTATTACTCAATCAAAGAGATAAATTAGAATTGATATGCCAACCTAGTCCGAAAATTGAGAGTACCATTAAAACCTCAAAAAAAAAAAAAAAAAAAAAAAAAAAAAAACCCGATTACTTGATACTCTATAAAATAATAACTTAATTTTGCAAGTAGTTATGTTTGTGTAATTACTAATTAAAAAAAAAATCTTTGATGTGATATAATCTGATTCAATATTGGTATGATTAGAGAAAATCTTAAGCTTTTTCACTTTATAAGTTGGAGCAATGAAAAATAAATATAGTGATATAATTGTACGTCTTGAAGATTTTATATTTGTTTTGTATTCTAAATATAACTAATAATTCTTAATTAATAAGATATTGTAATAATTTAACAACTAGAATTGAAATAAATATAAAAACATTGTTTATCTCTCACATTAAATATTTAATGTTGAGAATTTTACTAAAGAAATAAAATAAAAAATTGAGAATATATATATAACAAGTTCGGTTAATATAGGTTCTCAATTCAAGAACTTTAACCTAAATCTATAACTTGAAATTTATAGGTTGGTTCGCAAATAACCTGATTAACCTATTTATTGAGTGTAGTTAATGTGGTTAGGTTCAGTTCTCAAATTCATTTTTTTAAACACCCTTACTAACACCTAAGCAAGAAGGGAATGTACTCCCTTACCATCAATCCAATATTTTTAGGCTGAACTAGTATACTATATGCGTATTGTCCGCATGTAAGTCTATAAAATTGTTATAATTGTCTTACAAAATCTATTTCGATAGCTTAATAATTTTAAAAATCTAAGTGAATGAAGTAAAAATAAATCAATATTAATTGTGAGACTTTTTTTTTAATTTAATATGTATCATGTAGTATTTAAAACCATGTGTGTATTTTATATTTGAGTTTAACTATATCCTATAAATATGTTTGATTTTGCTAAATAAATAAAAAAATGTATCAAAAATATAATTAGCATAGTTAATAATCAAAAGGCAAAAACTGACATTGAAAATGTGCTAAACAAAAATTTATTGGAAGGATGTTTAATTTTTTTATGAGTCTATTAAAAAAATCACAAATAATCATTAATTATTAAGAAAAAAATTATGTGAGTAAATAATAAATAATGGACAAATAAAGGCATAAAAAAGAAAAATAAAATAAATAAACAAAAGCAAATTAGGCCAAGGCAAGCACTAGGCCCGCACGCATGGAGACCACACAGTTTTTCAAACAAAAATAGTGGCATCGTGTCGCTGTTTCTACAACTTATAACAACACAAGAACTGTTGGTTTTAATATCTCAAACCTAATTTATATATAAGTTATACCTTCTAACACTTTAGAATTATCTCAAAAACATTTAAAAAATATTTTTGAATGTCAAAACATGTTTCAATCAATCAACCTTAGGAAGAAAAAAAAAACAATTTTCTGACCTCATTCCTACTCTTATTTCTATTTTTAAAAAACTCATTTTAGCATAATAAAGAATAGAGATCATAATTTAAAAAAACGATCGTTACATTATGTAAAGATTGTTACATAATGATAACCAGACACTATGTTATTATTATTCAACGTTATGGGTGTCTCGATGTCATTTCACATAAATAATAAAAAATAACGATATTATCGTTATATAATGACGTTAAAAAAAGCTAGAATTTCAACTGCTAAAAGCGATGAGAGGTGAAGATGAGAGGCACGCAGAGATAAGAGGCTGGTAGAGATGAGAGACAGAGAGGCATAGACGAGAGTGTAGGGGCAGACAGGGAGAGAAGTTTTGAGTGATATTTGATGAGAGGAGAGAGGAACTTGGATCCTTTTATTTTGAAAAGCAAGAGATCACGAGGATATCAAATGCCTGCATTTGTGGGTTTTGATTGAATAAATTATAAATTAGTCCTCTTATTTTGAAACAATAATTTAGTTAATCCTTCTATTTCAAAAACCAACAATTTATTTATTTTGCTCATTTTATATTTTTTTAATTTATTTTTCTTTTTGTTTTAAAAAATAGAAAAAGAAAAAAATAAATTTAAACCATAAAAAAGATTGATGAAAAAAATATTTTATAGAATAAAAATAATATATTAATCATGATCAATACTGATTAAAAGATTAAATAATTAGTTTTTAAAACATTAAAAGCTAATTAATTCATTTATTAAAACTAGAAGGACTAACATATGATTTAATCTATTATTATTCTACTTTGTATGTCTTGCATGCACAAATTCATAGGTTGCAAAGCAAATTCTGCTTTAATTAAATAAATTATAAATTAGTCCTTTCAGCTTGAAAAAATAAATTAGATGATCTTTATTATTTTAAAAACTAATTATTATTTTTTAATTTTATTTTATTTTTTAATTTGTTTTTCTAAACTAGTTATGATCGTAATTTTGATGGATAAGAATCACTCGCTTTAACAACAAAACAATAACTATTATTATGATTCATCACGATGAT